CATAGTGTAATAATATTGTCAAATAATCTGTTTTCAAGCAAACTCATTTTTTTTCCGTTTACCCAAAATGAATTGTTTTGTATGCGATGCAGGTGGAATGCCAAGGGCTTTTCAATATCTAGAGGACTTTCAAAGAGTTAGAGAGCTTGCGCTGCTTATGAGGTGAGTTGTAGTGAGTTACTTTTTCATTTAGGGGATAGGTTGCAGGCATGCTATCTTTCATAACATTTGTTTGAAAAGGTTCATTTTTATAAAAGTTGCAAAAGAGTCGCAAAAAGTGCGGGCAAAAATACACTTACATACTCAATAAGAGCATCGGTAACCCCACAAAAATTGGGACGGCGCCGGCGGCGAAAATGAAATGCACGGGCTTAATGGCAGAACATTCTTTGGCAGAACATTTGTACCTTTTAATACAAATCATGCCCTTGTTTATTTACCGTTTTCGAAAAACTGTGGATATTTAGAATCTACAAACCTGTGCGAGTGTGCGGAAATCATTTTCTTGTGTAACAATTAAAATTAGCATGTTTTACAGCCCAGTGAAAATCGGAATATTCGTTGGATTGTTCAGCACACTAATTTGAATTTTTACAAAATAGCTATTCACCTCGGCTGCTTCACCGAACTCCGCTAGGAAGACTCGTGCGAAAAAAATCATTTTTCGCACTTGTTAGGTACAATAATTTTTCTACAGACGTGCGGAGATTAGTATACCTATATAATTCGTAGTTATTTAATAGTTTTTCTCCTCACGGCTGTAGAAACAAAAATACTTCCGCACACTCTCACAGATTTGTGAATTTCAAATATCAAAAGACGATAAATAAACAAGAGCACGATTTGTGTTAAAAGATACCAATGATAGCAACACATTGGTAAATGTGTTGCTATCATTAAGGCCGGTCTACCGATCGTGTTCCAATTATTTTTTTTAGAATGGAACATGATCTGCCAGGTAGGCAGATAAATGAACATGAAAGAATTCATCGAAACTGCCACAGTGTTCTACTGAATGAAATAAATCTGAAAACTAAGATCATTTCAGATTTACAGTAGTTCCCCAAAGAAATAATAGATGTTTCATTTGTTTGGACGGTAAAAGAAGGCCCCTAGCGCAAATAACATTTGCTGCTAGAATTATTTTTTACATTGAAAGGAACTTCTTTGTGCCAAGAACAAGTCTTTGCTGCTTACGGCATTATAATGTCGAGGGTTTTTTGAAATCCCAGGATACAGCCCCAATTCGCGGTTTTCAACGGGCAGTCAGAAAACCATTTTTCAGAAGAATATTTTAAGTTATTGACTAATCTCAATAAGGAACAATTTCGCGACTTTTATACCTATTGTCATGTTGTTTTATATATATCAACGCGAAATATTTCCAAAAAGATGCCATAGCATTTTTAATGAAAATGAAACTTGGCTTGTCGGATAGGGGCAATAGAAAGAGAAAATTACATAGACTTACATCGAATTATTTTAAAGTCTTGGGAAAAACATGAACGACTTTGGTCCTAAATCTCATATTATTTTTAGCTGCCTACCGTAAGAAAAATTGGATTCAAATTAGGAAACATGAGAGTCAGAATCTGATTTAAAATTTACTTCGTTATCATTCAAAAACAAGCCTCCTTTTGTTATTTGACTGATTTAAGTTTCCGAGAGAATTATCAGGATGCTGTCTTGATGCCTCTTTTACATCGGTATCAGAATTTTATGTCTGAAAACATTTATTGAAAGAATCGTCTATCTCACTCTAACTCAAAATTAGGATAGCAAAGGTCTTTATTGAACTCCTTTTTTGAACGATGAGGATTCTCAGGACTTAGATTCCAGATTACGATCCGTGAATAAGTTTACATCATAAAATAAGGCGTTATTGTCAATATAAATTTGTTTTATTCAAGAATTTTTTATTTTTTCTACGTAATAAACCTTAGTTGTATTGATACATTTTCACCTTTTAGCAACTTCAGCAGATCTCTAGCATTTCTATCTAAAATTAGCTTTCAAGTTGTTACTTTTCAATTTATATGGAATGAAAATAATTGGATCCAAAACTATGGGCTTTTGAATTTCACTAGGAGTGGTCATTTCAGGCTTTATTATTCTATTGTAAGAATAATTGGAATGTCCAAAACCCTTGTCGTTTTTATAATGCCGTTGGTTAGATATTGGGTGATATGAATAAAAATGGAGTTTAAACTCTAAAAATCTACTAGCGAGCATGAGCATCCAGTGTGAGTGTATGCTGATTTCATATGAATAAAACTCTTCAGCCGGAGATAAGTACCTATATGCTCCTTATGTACAGAGTAAGTTCTCACATATTTTGACTCGGGTGGTATGAATAAAAATTAGCATTTAGTTTCTACTCCAAATTTTGGAGTAAATACTTCACGTGGTATGAATAAAAACTACGAGCAGTTATTTCGCTTGAGTAGGTACTTCTATGTATAATTTGGTATGAGTAGATTCTCACTTTTGGTATGAATAAAAAATTGTTTATGCTCTTCGGCAGAAGAATCTACTCCATAGTTTTAAAGTCTGCTATGCAGTAGACTCAACTTTCTGCTTCAAGTTATTTCAGTACCGTTTTTTCCTCGGTAGAAGGCAGAGCTATGGCAGAGTTCTTCAATCTTAACCTGCGTTCGGAAAAATTTTACTAAGCTAGAAAAAATACGTGTGATCGGGACTTTAAAACGTTGTACCGGTTTAGTAAAGAAAATGTGGAGTGGTTATCAAATCAATTTTTGGGTGAAGAGTCTGGAGAAAGAAGAGGTGGTGCTTTATGCAACAAAGACAAGAATTTAAAATATTTTCAAGATACGTGGGTGACCCGGGGTTTCAGGCAGGAGTAGGCGAGGATGTTGGTGTTCACCAAACTTCGGTGGCTAAAGTTGTATCGGAAGTAGCTGATAAGATAATTCAGCAAAGTGAACGGTGGATCAAATTTCCCCGCAGTCCTGCGGATATAATATTATCCATTCACAATCCGATGTCCAGAGGTACAGGTAAAATTTATCACCTTTCAATGCTATTTGATAGGGAAAGGTGATAAATTTACCTGTACCTGTGGACATCGGATTGTGAATAGGATATAGAGGCGAAAGAGCGGTGGCAAGCAAAATAAAATGTTGAGTATCTACTCTATGTACTAGGAGTATGTACTTATCAAACCAAAATCTTTTTTATTCTTACGAAATGAAGTATAAGCTCAGACTTCATACTCATGCTCACGAGTATATACTCCGAGTTTAAACTCAGTTTTTACTCATACCACCCATTTAATAAAATTGAGTTTATACGTATATATACAGATATATTCGTATTTTAGTCTTAGTTAGTTTTTCATAAACTATCATTTGTGAAATCGGTTTTGCTGTAAAATCAACCGTTTAGGTTTTTCAGTCTGTCAAAGATGCAAAAAAGTCAATTTAAAGCTGTCAATATCTCCAAAACAGTTGAAGATAGGTATATGAAATATGTCCAGAATTTTCCGCAGAATTCAGAAATGTCATAACAAACACGGAGAGTCATTTAAAAAAACACAACTTTGTGTCACCACTACTTATTGGGCCACCCTGTATACTGGAAAATAATTTAGGAATGTCATGTTTATCTACAAGTTTTGTATTTAGTTTTTTCTTCGATCTCCGTTAGTATACGAGATATGGTTCACCGCGCGCTTAGTAACTCACCCTGTATATCTTAAAAATATTTTTATTTTTTCAAAATTGCTTAGCGCACCACCTCTTTTTTCTCCGGATTCGTCCAGGGACGCAAGTATGGGGGGAATGGGGGGGAGGACGTCCCCCCCAACCAGTTCTACCAGTTGGGATATCGGGTACAAGTTGGGAGAATCGAAAAATGATAAAAATATGAAAAACAGCTTGAAAAAACCGCTACTTGGCAGGGGCGTAGCCACGGGAGGGGTTTTGGGAGTTTAAGAAAATATTTATTATTAGAAACTACTTCTGGAAGTTATTAGAAATTAAATATTATAATAAATATTATAATAAATACTAACAGTCTCAAAAAAATACATGCTTTTGACTTTTATTGTGTTAGTAAACATGTTGATTTTACCAGTAGCGTTCCCAAAGGGGGCCGAGGGGTCCGTGCGTCCCCTAAATTGACTCATTTACAACGAATTTTCCTACCTAAAATGTGAAGTCACGAAGGACATATTGGGACATTACTAAAAACTCTAGAAATTGACCTCACGAAACCTATGTCAAAAAAAAAAGGTCAAAGACTATATTATAGTCTTTGACCCTCAAAATTTTATTGTTTTCATATAAAGCATTTGACTTTGAAATGGGATTTTTGAGAAAGACCAGTTGGGAGATTTTACCTACGCCACTCCCCCCAATAAAATGTCTTCGGGACGTCCCTGGATTCGTCGCCGAGAAAATTATTTGATAGCCACTCTACGTTTTCTTTGTTAAATTGGTAAAGAACTTTAAAGTCGCGGTCTACAGTATCTCTTCTTAATTTATAAAGTTTTTGAGCACGCAAATTTACCATAAAGGCCGTCATTGTTGACACTCACAGGCTAAAATATCGACTGAGTTTGCCTAGTACCAGACTCCAGATTTTCGGAATATAAACTTAATTTGATTGAGTAGGGACTCAACCTTATTCATACAAAATAAGAGCATATTCTCCTCGTGATTTGTATATAAGAGTAAATGCTCATGTTTAAATCTCGTCTTTATTTTTATAATTACCACTTGAAGTATTTACTCCAATTTTTTGAGAACTCATTTTTATTCATATCTGCCATTATGTATTTTTAATTTTAAGGATTTGTCTACAAATTATGTATTATTTTTTTTCACAATAAAGCATTACCTACCTATTATTTTTATTCAATTTAATGATAATACATATAGGAATTAAAAAGCATCGAATGATAAAAAAAATCTGGTGGGATATATAAAATCAATCGACGATAAAATGCAGGATAACAAGTGAACTACGCAGATGAAATTTTAGAGAAAATAAGGTTTTTATTAATATTAATCAGTAAGTAATACATAGGAAAATGAAAAGTAGTACATTCTTTGGTAATACATGAAGAAATGAAAAGAAACACGTAAGCAAATGAAAATTACATCGGCATCGGGATTGGCCCAGTTCCGTATAGCCCGGGCGGACCTTCCAACTTGCAGTACTCCAGATACAGCTGTCTGGGGACCTGAAACATATCCAGATTAGTACACAAGACAATTTACAATCCATCATACTAAATATTTATGATATATTCCAATGTTCCTCTACATTGTGTAGGCCAGGAAAGAGAGGTTGAACCTCGCAAACTCGATCCAAGTTCTGTTTTATTTGTTTTCTGGTAGGACAAGGGCTGCTTATTAAGGGTCTAACTTTTTCCAACAAAATTTCTCCCTGGAAACTCCCCTTTCATCCCCTTAAAGGTCGTTTTTTTCTCCGAAACTTACTGCTTCCGCTACGTGTTACAACAAAATACCTTTATGGTAAATCAAAGAAGACTAAATGCTCTGCAATTTACCCAGCGACAGCATTTATCTATCACCTACCCTTTAGTCAGGGTAGGGCTCTAAAGTTGAATGACTTTGAGAAAAGATATTTTGGGATTTTTTTTTTTACTGAATTTGAAAGAGCCCCACAGACTATGATGAAACACGAGGGTTTTTATCGAAAACCGTCGTGTTTCATCGTAGTGTATGAAGGGCCCCATACACTATGACGAAACACGAAGGTTTTCATCGCCGCGATGAAACACGTCGTTCCAAAACCGAAGTGTGTATTAGAAAAAGACGACCGTTTTCTACCACACACTTCGGTTTTGGAACGACGTGTTTCATCGTGGCGATAAAAACCGACGAGAAAGAACGTAGTGTATGGGGCCCATTAGAGAAGGTAAAGCACTATCCTATGGACATCAGGAGTAGGAACGCGCCATTCTGCTATGAAACTAAAGTGAAGCCAAGTTTTTTGGCAGGTGTTTGGCACCAAATACAGGTGAAGCATTGAAATTGCCTATACCTTCATTTTTTTGGTGTCAAAATACCTGGAAAACACGGCTTCATTTTCCAACTCTATGTTACTACTCCTTTACCTTTACCTGCTCTAACTTACACTACACACAGAGCGAATTTACCACAAACTATCCAGCAACACATACACCAAAAAAAATAAAAATAAATAAGTTTAAATTCCCAATATGGTTTGGTCCTGAATTGAAAAATCTCACTATTGAAAAAAAAAGGCTCAGATAGCTTGGAAAATTACAATTATTTTAAACAGCTGAGAGCCACTTGTAAGGTTCAGGCAGAAAGATGTTATTTTGATTGATTATATTGGGCGAACTAAGCATAATGTATTAAAAGATCCGAAATATTTCTGGAAATATATCCATTCTAAAACTCATTCTAGGGAGTTGCCACCCGCACTCCATTATCAAGGGGGCGTGGCGTCTGATGGTGAGGGCATTGCAAATCTCTTTGCAAGGCACTTTGCATCGGTCTACGCGTCTGCTGGTCCTATGGGTAATGTGGTCAGTTGTGAACCTGTTGCTTTTGGTGAAGTCATTTCAATCTGAGGTTATTAGTGTTACTTCTGGGGTGCCTCAGAGGGGTCATCTTGCACCACTCCTGTTCTGCCTATTTATCAATGACATAGGGTCTTGCTTCCATTATGTGCAATTTATATTATATGCCGATGACTTAAAACTTTTCAAGAGTATAAATCAAGAAGGCCCAGACAGGGGAATGCAGGATGATCTTCTGAGGTTCTATGAGGGGTGTGTTGAGAACGAGATGACGTTGAATGGCAAGAAATGCAAATATATTCAGTTCTCTAGGAAAAATTCTCCCAAACTAAATGACTTATATAAATGATAATGTTATTGAAAATGTTTCTAGTATTCGGGACCTAGGTGTTATATTCGATGCAAAATTGTCATTTTCTGAACATATTTATGCACGTTGTAATAAAGCATTGAAAATGTTGGGTTTTATCAAAAGACATACAAGAGACTTTAAGAATGTTTCTGCTCTCAAGTGCTAGTATGTGTCATTGGTTCGTTCCCATCTTGAAAATAATAGCTGTGTGTGGTCACCACATTATAAAATTTATATTGTATTAGTTGAACGTGTACAGAGAAAATTCTTGAGATACATAGGGTACAAAATGGGAATACCTTCAAATTTTATTGATCATGGTCTTCTTTTGCAGAATTTGTCTTTGGACACATTGGAGCATAGGCGTAGAAAATTAGATCAGTTATTGATTTTTTAAGTTGCTCAGAGGTTATCTGAATTGCCCTGAGTTGCTCTCGGCTGTAAACTTGGGTGTCCCAGTGAGAAATTTTAGAGCTGTGCGCTGTTTTTCGTTGGAGAGACATCGTACCTCTTATGGCCAACACACAACCATTAATCTGGCTATGTCTTATGCCAATGAGATACAGGTGGACATATTTACTGCGTCTTTGCACCAAATGAAGCTATCACTGTGATATTGTTTTGTAATCTAGTGATTCACTCTGTAATCTGTTTTTGGCTGTTTTTTGTTGTCCTTTCAATTTTTTAATTTAGAAATAATTTATTGTACTCTTTTAAATTTTTTATTTATATGTGGTTTGTTATTAGTATTAATATTATTATTGTGGCAATATCTGTAAAATTGGGCTGCTGCCCGTTGGAAGTGGAAATAAATAAATAAACTTTTGATAAATAATTGGCCGATTTTTTGGTATAAGTTTTATTTAAAAACAGTTAACCCTTTAAGATATACAGGGCGTTGAAATTTAAACAACGCCCTTTCATATCATCTGAAGGACTAATGCTAGGCTGTTCAAATTTTCAGGGATTAGTGACGTAAGAATGATATTTAAAAAATTATATAATGCACCCCCATTTTTACCTGGAACCACCCCAAAAAAAATAAAAGGACCCGGCACACTTCTTATGGGATTTCTGACCGCAGTCAAATTTTACCAAATTTTAGTATGTTATAGATCTGACCTTTCTGATCAATAACTATCATGGGCACAACTTAATCCTATGACTAGTTTTTGAGATACATGGTGTTCAATGTGTGAATGTCCGATATACATTATGACATCCTATTCAATCAGCCGAAATATATTTGTGTGAGAATTCGGTCAAGGCACAGAAATCAAGTGAAAGATCAATAGTTATTTGTGCTCGAACGATAGGTTCATGTACAGGGTGTCCCGTTTTGGTTATACATAAGGAATTACCAGGTTGCTATTGGAGTTGGTCGAGTTGGAAGGTTGCGGTTTTCGCAAACTTTGGCTACGAAAGATAGCGCCAACAGACCTGTCACCATCCTTGTGGTTTTTTAAGATACAAGGTGTTTTTGAAAAAGTTGCATTTTGGGACACCCTTTTATATCGGTTCTCTCATAAGTGTAAGTGATCGAAAAAGTGAAAACGGATTCTTATAGATATTTTACCGAAGACTCCAGTTGCCTAGTCAGTTTTTCTCTAGAAGTGATAGTTTTTGATTTATGAAACAAACATAGTGTTTCCAAATGAAATACCCAATGTATTATAAAATCATTGGAAATCAGCAAAAGCTGATTTGAATGATGCAAAATTCGTCAGGTTTGTCTCTAACAGTTTTCCAGCGAAAAATTTTTTAAACTGTTTTTGTCATAGGAAACAATGTGTTAGACCTTTCCCATTTTCCTCACAAATGCAAAGTTCTTTTCTGACACATTATGACAAAAACAGACATGATAGAGATACACCTTCTTCATCGTCAGCCCGTGTCCATCCATTGTCGGATATAGGCCTCTTCCAGGTTTTTCCATGTCCCGCGATTTCTCGCTAATCTCATCCATTGCCCCCCTGCTATCGTTCTGACATTGACTATCCATCTCTTTTTCGGTCGTCTCACATTTCTTGTTCCCACATTTCTGGCTTGCTACCCTTTTCACGACATCCTTCACTTTGGTTCTATCACGTATCTGTTCATTTCGTATTTTATCCCCAAGGTGATTCCCAGCATTATTCTTTCCATAGTTTCTAAGCCGGAGGTGAGAACCGACAGAATACAGCTGTCGTAGGCTTTCCTCTTTAGTTTTATGGGTACCTTTAAAAATATAGTTCATGTTTCCGAATGCCATCCATGCCAAATGGATCCTGCGTTTGATTTCCGCCGTTTGGTTTTCTTAACCCAGCTTCATTTCATGTCCTAAGTATGTGTAATGTTCTTCATTTTCTATGGTAACGTTGTCTATGGTGATGTTATATTAATGTTTGCTCATTATTTTGGTCTTGTTTAGGGTCATTTTCAGGCCTATTTTCTGGGATTGTTCGTTTGGCTCATTTACCATGTTATTCAGTTCTTGAATGTTGGTGTTCATCAAGACTATATCATCTGCAAATCTGAGGTATCCATGGATGTTTATGCCCTTGTTTTCCCATTACAGCATCTAAAAAACATTCTTCAGTGCTAGGGTAAATAGCTTGGGAGAGATGGTATTCCCCTGTCGTACTCTTTTACCAAGTGATATTTTGTCTGTTTTAAGATCGTCGTATATTTCTACGTGAAATGTTGCCTTATAATAGATATTTTTAATAAGGGTATCTCAAATCGACTCTTGCGTCCTCCATTGCCGCTAAAAAAGATAAGGTTTCAACGCTGTCAAACGCTTTCTGGTAGTTCAGAAACGCCAGATGTAGGGGTTGTTTTCTCGATGACTGCTTTAATTGTAGTACTAAAGCCCCTTCGGAAGCCTACTTGTTGTTTTACCGGTTGGTAGGAATCTAGCTTCGCAGTCAGTCGATTGTTGATAATTCTAGTGATAAATTTATATAGGTGTGATAACAGGCTTATTGGTATGTAGTTTTCTATATTTGAACGATCCCCTTTTTTATATGCTATCACGTCTTCGGCATTTTTCCATGGTTCCGGGATTTTTCCCTCTATCTCCATTGTTATTGTCTCTGTTAGTGTTTTTCCCTCCATCTTTAGCATCTCCGGTGTTATTCGATCTTCTCCCGGAATCTTGCCGTTTTTTATCTGTTGGAGTGCGTATTTAATTTCTGATGGTGATATTTCCGGCATGTCTTCAGAGCCTATGTTTGTAATGTGTTTAGGAGGTCCATTTGAGCTTGGTATAGTTGTTTGGTAGAGCTGTTCGTAGATTATTTGTATTTCCCTTCTAATTTCCTGTATTTCCTTTAGG